AAAAAAATGGGGAAATTAAAAGGAACTATACTATTTTTATGAAAATTATGCGTTAAAAAAAAAATTGAATAATATTTCTTATTTAAGTTGTTGAGTGCGAATAGAAAAATAAAAAAAAAATAAAAAATAATGCTAAAAAATAGGATTTCCAATTGAAAAAGAAGATCTAGAGCAATCGAAAAGGAATCAAATTGAAGCTTTTAAAATTTATAAAAAAATCTTTATAAATAATTTTAAAATGCAAAATGTTAATGGCTGGCTATTCGAGTTTAGAAATTGAATTTTGCCAACCATGTCTTGAGGAAACCAGAGACATTAAAGATTTATAATTTTATCTAGCAGTTAGAGTAATGGCGCTTCATTTAATTCTATTTATCAACTTTTCAATAAATCAGAACCAACTTGTATAATTAGATGTATTTAAATCAGGAAGTTGCTAAATAAGTAAAATTAAATTGAAGGCGATTTTGAAAAATATTCTAAATACAAATCAAGAAGATCTAATCCTGATTTTAATCTTATTTGAATGAGTGAGTGAGTGAGTGAGATGTAAACTAATACTTTAAAATTAAATTGTAATCATACTAAACTGAATAATTAAATTTCGCTAGCTATTACACCATAGAGTATGTTACTATAAATTCTATTCATACTCCATTTAAAAAAATCAGGACTCTCCACCAAAACAAGTCTTCATAAAAATTGAAAGATTAAACTGATGTAGTTTATGATTCATTAATAAAAATCTCTAGTGAGTAGCTGGGATAATCACAGTAAGAATAATAAATGATTATAGTTTAACCTCTTATTCATACATTTTGTTAGTAGCATTTACAATTCAAATAATTTTTTAATAAATGTGAGTAGCTAAAATAAAGGAGAATTTGTAAATAATATCTATATGTAAAAAATATGGGATGTAATTTTGTGTGTTTGTAATAAAAGAACTTTTTATTATTCATTAATAAAAAGGCACAACAATATCAGGTTGAAAAATCATTTTTATACTGGCGTTGATTTATAATTTTTAAATTTTCTTAAAAATGTTAGGCTTATTGAATAAAGTAACATCTACATTACGTGGAGGTGGTTGTGGATCTGCTAAAATAATTCCCTTCACTGAAGTGGAATTAAAGTCCGATAAATATGAAATAGACAATTTAATTACTAGATTTGATTCTTTTGTCTAAATTATATATACTAAAGCAACTGTTGCTGCTAATTAATCAGAAGCTTAAGAGATAATGATAGCAATATAATGGTTTATTTTTTAAGAGGAAAACATTTACAAACTCATCAAGAATAAATAATAGGTCAAAAAAACATACAACTTAATAATAGATGGAATTTAAAAATTATTGAAAAGTTGTTTCATCTACATCAGAACTGATTCATTCAAATGTTTATTTATCTTAAGAATAACAGCATCTCTCTCTAAAGTGATATTTAGCTTCCATATGATAAATGAGTTAAGGTTTATGGGTTTGGGGTTGGGGTTGGGGTTGGGTTTGGGATTGGGTTTGGGGTTTGGGTTTGGGGTTGGGTTTGGGTTTTGGGTTTGGGGTTTGGGTTTGGGTTAGGAATCGGTTTGGGG